CGCGAACGTCGCTGAGCGACGGGGGGTTGACTCACTGCTTGTAGAGAACTATGTGCATTTATTTACACTAGTTACAAGTCCCAGCTTGGGAGACCATCCTGCCTCGTCTAGATGCTCGGCCCCAGTCCCCAGTCTCCCTAAATCGAATCCAAAATTCAAATCTCCATCCGTGAGAATCTTCTTGGCACTCCTTTTGTAGGCTCGTAGGGGCCTGCTTTCTCCTCAGGAACCGACTAATCCCTTCAAATTTCGCCATTCCCAGGTGGCACACTGTTCTCCAATGATCGATGAGCTGTCAGTCTCGCGCTCCAACCGTTAAGACCAAATTCCGTCTAGAGTCGTTCCCTGTGTTTTTCCCAGACTGGCTGGCACCAACAGCTGAAATATTACACCGGGCCAAAAGCGACTATTTGACACTAAGCGGCAAAACTATCTATAACCAGGCACACTCGGTTAACAGCAACAAGCAGCTCCACGAATGGGCTGTCCCAGGGATCTGTCGAACAGACTCCCGAAACACGAGACGTTTCTTAACGATCGCGGGGGAACCGCTCCCACCTCTCGGCCGCTCTGCCCCCGCAAATGTTCCCTCCAAAACGCCGACACAAAGATACAAAGCTAAAAAAATCAATGTCGACACAACTCTGTAAAGATAAACTTTTCTAACAAGAGAAAACACCTTAATTAATAAACAAGATTTTTACATACTTAACTCTCCGTTTGCATTTGGTTTTAGCAGAATTTGTTTGTAACAGCCTCGTCTGATGTACTTGCCCCTTCTGCACCAGTGTGAGAAAGTGTAGGGCGGTGTACTTCCGGTCTTATCTCAATACACATACCGGAAGTAGACTTCCCTAGACTTCTCTGCACCGGTGCTGGAAGTTTAAGGAAATCGAACGCAGCTAACGCTAATTTATAATCCCCGAAATAAGGGTGATGGAACGCCACGGAAACCACTATGAAATGTGTAAGACGTACTTGGACGACAATCTATACAAAAAGACGTAGTTGAAAAGAAATAGTAATTTAACTGAGAAGGAATAACTAAATTTTGAACACGCTCCGACGCAAATGGAAATAAATTAAAAGTGCTACTTTGACTAGCCGGTTTTGATGCCCACGACTCCATGATTATGAGTCGCACACTATACCACTGTGCCAAAGGGGCGGTGGTAGTGTGTCGGCGCCAATGGTGAACGCGAACGCTGGACGCAGGCGTTGGACTTTGCGTCTATGCACCAATCATTCTAATCAGAGTTCAGTGATCTCACGTCCCCGTACGCTTTTATTTATCCGTGAGGAGCAGCTTATAATCTGCGACCGACATGCAGAACATCTGTTCTCCCGTCGGAGCGACCGCTGCACTCCTATTTGGGGAAGGATTACGGCCAGTAACATTGACCTGCGGTGTGCGTTTTTTTTTTTTGTAATTTTTTTTATGTGCCCCCGAGGTTGCAAACACGTTCCCAAAAAGACTCCGCCGACTTAAATATACAGAACGAGGCCGTAAGGATTATCACTATTTGCACGCCTTGCAAAATTCGAATTCCAGACGTACAAAGCGCGGCCCTGTTGGCGCGAACAGACGATCGCCGGTTTTTCCACTTTTTCTCTTTGAGACAAAGGTATGTCATCCACATTATTATTGCTACGGAAAGAGCTCATTTTGTTCTATAATGTAAGCGATAAAATTTCGTCACGCTAATATTCTTTAAAAGTAAAATGCGAAAATGCGCCGATGTCGTGTTCGCGCTAACAGTGTCGCGATGTATACATACATGAAACTGGGCACGCTTACGTCGTTTCGCGAGAAGTTTTGTCGATTTTGTTAGAGCTCAAATCAACAAAGGTAACTATTAAAAAAAAAAAAAAAGCCAAGAACGGCGGCCCTGCATCTTCTATGCCCTATACTAGCCTGTTTGTCACAAGGTTCATTAGTTGGAGTTAAATTAGGATGGTAAAATAAGCTAAGGCGAGACCAAAGTCGAATTTCAGCAATTTGTAATTATAAAGAAAAAGCTATTCGTGGAAAATAAAATGAGATAAATAAAACTGAAATATTTACAGCAGAAGCGGAAGTGTTCAGTTCGGTTTCTTCAGGTGAAGGCACCGTTGTGTGCAAATCAGTCTTCGGTTTTCTGTGTGCCGGAGAGAGAATGGAGGTTGTAGGCTCACGGCGCAGCGTCGGGTGTTAGGTTTCTCGAACGACTTCAGTTTTAACGGAGCTCGACTTGATTGGAGGCTGTGTCGGCAACTCTCGAACTTTAGCCGAACATAGGTTTCTCTGGTCTGTTGCCTTGGAGACTTGATCGGGCGGGTTCCAGGTTGCCGGTGATGCAACCCAGTCCTGGTTTGGGCCGTTCACCCGAGCGCCCTGGCACGCCAGAAATGAAAGTTACTGCGCAGGCGAGCTGGTGAACCATCATAGTGAAAGAAAACCTCGAGATAAGGAACAAAAAAAAAAAAGGGGGACAAACACAACACTGTTTCTAAACACAGCTGCAAAATGTATTTCCGCACAATCCTTTTTATAAAGGTTTGTGGCAACCGCAACCACACCGCTGTAATCAACAACTGTCAACCCCACAGTCAAGTCAAGTGGACAAGACCAAGCTCCGATACAGCCTAACAATACATCGGCGAACACAGTGGCCTTGAAAGCTAGATAATAATAATCAATCAATCAATCAATCAATGTTTTTATTCGTGCCCAGGAACAACCTTACGGTCTTGGTACAGGTGCACTGTGTTAACATGTAAGGCAGAACAGGGCATAAAGCAAATAATACCTTTATAGCAAATATTTGACGAGATCCAGGCTTGCAAGGGCCGCAGAAGGCAGTGTGCCCACCCCAAAAGGCCTGCGGGCCCAGCCTGGGTTCTAATGTTCATAGTTCTTGGAACTGGAAGCGGCAACACTGGGCAGGGCCGGCAACAACAGTTGCTGACACGTTAGTTCGTGTGACAACACTGGCGTTGCACTACGTAGTCTGTTGGGCAGCCCTCATTACAGTCCTGAAGTCGTCGGCGTCGGTTGGGAAAGTTCTCGTGTGGTCAGATGGGAGCCGGTGCCACAGCGCTGCTGCACGGTGCAGCCAAGATGAGCCGTGGCGTTGTGTGCGAGTAAGGGGCGGCTGAAGACGGCCTGTTCATTTGTTCAAGCGCGGACTTTAGGACAATTCCTGGTGACCAGGGGACATGATGCGCCACAGTAGTCGCAATGTTGAGGCCCGTACTCTTGAGTCCAGGGGTTGCCAGGAGGCAAGGCGGAGCAGGTTGGTGGAGGTAATTCCACCATGGGGGAGTTGCTCTTTCTTAAGCGTTGTGCGGCGGTAAAAGGTGTACGCTGCACGGCGTTGAACGCTGGAGAGACTTGTTTGAAGTGCCTGTGACAGGAGCAACCACACAGCAGTAACGATTTAAGCGCAGAAAGAACGAGCGCTGTGTACAAACATCGGAATGAACTCGCCGGCATTCCAGTGCATGGTCACACGTGTCACTAACCCTAGCAGGCGGCGAAACCTCGATACAGAACGATTCGTGTGCACGGAAAAGTTCAGCCGAGAGTCAAGCTCGACTCCAAGCACCTCAGCCGTACCGGCTCGGCTTATCACGTGATGGCCAAATTTTAGAGGAGGTGGTTGGAGAGAGAATCGTGGGTGGCTTGAATTAGTAAATGAAACTGTCGAGCACTTATTTCCATTCATGGGGAGATGGTCCAGCTGCGTCCAGTGCAGACAACGGTCTAGGCCAGACTGAAGACTGACGTAATTGGCCGGAGAGCAGATGGGTTGGAGCAGAGAGATGTCGTCGGCATATAGGATAGGAGTTGAGGCCAAGTTATCTGTAATGCTGTTGGTGAAAATGGTGAATAGGGTAGGGTTAAAGACGCTTCTCTGTAGGACGCCAGAAAGGACGGGAATAGCCGTTGAGGAAGCACCTCGGTAGATAACTCGCTGGGTACGGCCAGTGAGAAACGAACCGAGCCAGCGAAGCAGAGGCCCACGCAGCCCTTTGAGCTCAGAACTCGCCAACAACCAGCATGGGAAAGCCGGTCAAAGGCTCGAGAGAGAGAGAGAGATCTAGGTGGACCAACTCGACGGGTGTGTGGTCATCAAGGTGTGCACTGACGACGTGGACCAGAGGGAGAAGGGCGGTTGCACAGCTGCGGCCGCGGCGGAACCCATGCTGTGAGAGTGACAGAAGGCTATTGCTGTCACGGTGCAGGTGAATTTTAGAATTGAAAATTCGCTCAAACGTGCGGCACAAGACTGAAGTGGATGCAGTGGGGCGGTATGAAGATAAATTATCAGCACGAGCGCCATGTCCTTTGTGTACTGGCGTGACAATGGCTATCTTTCACAGACGAGGAGTAACACCAGAGTTCAGTATTCGCTGGAACATCCGGGAAAGGGCCGGGGCCATAGAGGGAGCTGTGGATTTAAGTACAAGAGGGTGCATACCATCGGGGCCCGGATTCTGGAAAGGGCGAAGCTGGGACACCGCCTCAAGGACGTCGTCAGTAGTTATCGTGATGGATGATAAAATGGGTGTAGGCTGACCAGTTGTGGTTGCACGAGGGGTATCGGTAGTTCAACTAGAGGGGGCCAGGGAGTTAGCACAACAAGAATCGGTCCAGACTGCAGCGAACTGTTTATTAAATGCTTCAGCTATGTCGATGAGCACGAGAGCAAGTCGTTCGCGACAAAGAAGGAGGGGTGCGGCGCCTGCTTCCGCTGTGAGTTAAGAAATGCTCAAAATAATTTAGGCTATTTGACCGCACGAGCGGCGATGTCCTCAGTGTAAGCGCGGTGAGCCACACGTATGCGTTTCTTCACGTCACGATGGATCTCCTTGGCAGCGGCAAGACATTCTGGGCAGCGGCTTCGTCGCGCCCTGCGGTACACTCTATCTTTCTGATTGCTGAGGGCAATGATGTCTGATGTAAGTCAGGGCGCGCTGCGTGGGCGATGGGCGCGCCTGAGTGGCACAGTGGCGCTTCAAAGGGCGTTCATCAGAGACGTGCAGGTCTCGCACATGTCGTCAATGTCGTGTTCTGAAAGCAGGGCGTCCAATGGGACAACGCGTACAAGCCGATGGAGGTGCTCAAAGTCGAGTTTACTGTAGGCACGGAGAAGCCGAATGTGCTTCCCTCTGGTAGGAAGGGACGGAAATGTCGATAGCTGAATGACGTTGTGGTCAGAGTTGCTCAGGCCAGCAGTGACAGCACAGCCGTGGACAAGAGTTGGGTTGAGAGTAAAGTAGAGGTTAAGGCACGACGATTTTTTTGTATTAGTTGTGTATGTAGCCTCCGTGCACAGCTGTGTGAACCCATTTGTTTTAAACAGGTCCAGGAGCATGTCAGATGCGGGGTCTTCCGGCAGTGGAAACAGAGGATCGGCCCAGTCGATGTGGGCGTTGAGGTCGCCGAGGATGTCGACGTTGTGATATGGGCCGCGAAGCGCTACAATGTGTTCCATCGAACAACGGAGCAGACTGTATGACTCGGCGCGGAGAGCTGAGGGGCAGTAAATGGAGGCCACGAGGTACCTCTGTTGTTTGACAATGATTTCAATGAACAGCGCTTCTAAGTCTTCCCTCTCGACCATGACGCCGACACCCCACGGGAAGTCGTTCGGTTCTTTCGAAAAACAACGTACTCGGGGAAAACGAGCTGGCTGTCGTGGATGGATGGGTCCAGCCATGTTTCGCAGAGATTGAAGATTGTGCGTGGCATCGAGGGTATAGTTGCTTGGTGCTCGGGTAATTTGTTCTGTACTGACCTGGCGTTGCAAAACCGGATAGTCGGCTGCTGCGACTAGACGTGCCAAACCTATGTCGCAGTGGGTGCTTGGGTTCGGTTTTCGGCATCGACCCGACGGCCATCCGCAATGTCGGGGGTTGGCGACGGCGAAAGGGAGCATGGAGCTTGGCTAGGGACGTCCAAGTAATCATCCGTAAAGTCAAAGGTGCAGCCCAGGCAGTTCCAAGTGTCAGTACTGCTCCCGAGTCTCCGGTATTCCCTGAGTGACAGACGAGCACAGGTCTGATGGTGCCACATTTCGCATGTGTCACAGCAGACGGGGGCCTTAGTCTCACGCACTTTTCTGTCGCAACACGGGCAGAGAACTCCCGGGGGTCCTGGATTAGGTTCCACATCACCGCCGGCGAGAAGAGACGTACCACGGAGCTGGACGGAGCATACCAGCAACCGCGTGAGCCCGGGAGGCCGACGCGATCCAGTGGACGGAGAAGGCGTAACGACCGGCCGGTTCGACGGATAATCGGCCGAGACCCACATGCATGGGAGCGCAGGCCAGCAAGCGAAGGTGAGGTGAGCAGGAAGATCGTCCGGTGTCGCTGGGCGAAAGCACAGTAGATCACCAGTGCGAACTGAAAAAGGCGAAACAGGAGAGTGAAGCAACACGGTCTCCACGTTGCCGCCATGTTGTCCGCGACAGACCGTATCTCCAGGTCCATGACAAGCGAAGATATACAATTGTCTCTTTATTTACGAAGGACTTCGGTCTTCGTCAAGCCCGGAAAACAATTCGTCAAGCCCGGGAAGCTTCATCTTCGTCCGGGAAACTTCGTCTTCGTCAAGGCCGGGAACTCACGAGGTGTTTGACGATTTCCAAATTCGCCGATTTTGACGCCACCGCCCTTTTGTGTTCTAGAATACGGTCATTTGGACAGCGGTTAGTCTGGCCAACGTACGTAAAACCACGCGTCATAGGAATATCACAAACCAATGCTTCTTCACGCTCAGTTGCCGCCTCCCTATTTTTTTTCTGACATTCTTTGACACACTGATATGCGATGTGTATGGTTAGGCTGTATCGGAGCTTGGGCCTGGTCTACTTGAGTTGACTGTCGGGTTGACGGTTGCTGGTGTGAGCAGTGTGGGTGGGGTTGCCTTCTATAAAAAGGATTGGGTGGAAATAAATTTTGCACCTCTGTTTAAAGACGGTGTTGTTTTTGTACCCCTTTTTTCGCTCCCTGTCTCGAATTTTTTTTCATTATGGCCTGTTTGTCTGTCGCTGTCTGTCCCTCCCCAAATCTCTCTCACCGTACTCTCCGTGCTTCTTGTGCCATCTTCTTTTTTTTTTTGATAATTCAGCATGGACATTATCACACTGTAGGTCGTCTGCACACTGGTTTGCGAGCGCGCTCCCGTGGAAGATAATCGCGATAGGTAAACTTTTAAACGAAATATATGAACGATGACCACCTGGGAGCAAGCTCGCAAAGCAATGTGCAGGTGACGAACATTGAGATATAAACTGCACGGCCACAGTTTCACTTTGGCACCCTTTTTAATAGTTCACTACACCTGATGTGAGCCCTCAAAAGATAGACGTAAAACTTTTCTCTTAACGGCGTTTTTGTCCCCACCTTCACGAATGTAGGATAACAATTCGGATTTGGCAAGGCGTATTAAATATGTTGGTCATTTCGGCCTTCCCTTCCCCTGTATATACAGCTTCGTAGTGCGAATGATGACTTGGATTTCCTGAAGCGCATCCTTCTTCTCATGGTCCTTTTTTCTCGCAGTTCTGTGACGCACTCGCTTATCTCTGGAGATAAACTTCTATGTGAATGCAACATAAGATAGTGGGAAGAATTCGAAAGGAAATTTCTTGGTAGCCTTGGTGTGGCTGCCAAACATTTATAATGAAACCTAAATATTTCATTGTACCTGATCACCATTGAGAATCTGGTACCCTGAAGATGTCTAATAGCGGCAGCCTACGTGTCCTCAAGAGAGCTGCTGCAGCGCGCCGGTCGTCATTTACATGTTGACAAAAACAGCTCCGATCCATTGTGGCTCCATATCAGCAGTCATGATGCGATGCGCTGGAGAAACGAAGGCCAGTGGCATTGAAACGGAAAAAAAGGGGGGGGGGGACGAGGTAAATGCTTCCCTCCCCCCCTCCCCTTGCATGTAAACAATACGAGGGATGGGGAGAAAAACCTCGTATCCCCTCCGACCGCCATCGTCTCCCGTCATTCACCGCCCTTCCATCTCTCGAATAGTTCCGACGCCTCTCATGAAAGGGATACTGAAGCGAAATTTAGAGCTCACAAAGCAAGTCTCGAGGGATAGGCGGGATGCTGCAAAACCCCAAAACATTACTCATAGAGCGATATCTGTAACGGATCGCCGCAGTTCCGGAAACGAAGTGCGCGATCGAACACGGCCGGTGAGATAAGTCACGTCACGACTCTCATTCCCTCCCCTCCTCGCTACGTCCCGTCAAGCTGGTGAACCGAATTGCGAGGAGGACAAAAACCAGGCCGCTTGCGCTAATTCTCAAATGTTCCAGGAGAACAATGATGTCACCGCGCTCGCTTGATCGCGCCCTTCTTTTCCAAAGAATACGGCCATCCGTTTGAAATATCGATGGATGAGTGACATTTTGGTGTTCGTAGCGTTTCGTGCAACGCTTCTGCGGCCTTACTTTGCGAAATCAAAATTTCAGTTCAGTATCTTTTTATGTCTCTGTGAAAAATGTTGGCTGCACTATGGAGTTTCCGCGAGATTAATTTCGAGTTATGCGTATGTTTTCTATTAAAGTCATGCTTTGTTTCAGGTGGTGATTTTATGGAGTATGAGCAATATTTGATGATGCGGGCAACTTACACGATAATAGATGCCAACTACGTTCCTTTGACCAAACCTCCGGCCCGATTCGATCTTTCAAAGAAATGGGACGGCAATCTTAGAGCAGTCATTGAGAAGAAATTACGATCTCTGCTCACCGATGGTCCTTTCTATCATTCTATCACTGCTGCTCTGAAGAGAGTTAAGAAGCCCTCTGGATTTGATCCTTGATATGCGTTGATTGGCCATTAAAATAAAATATAATTGCAATGTTTGTTTATAATCGCAAACTTTTGCCAAGTGAAAATAAACGCAAGCTTCTTCGTTATGGGGGTTCAAGAACTTATTCATTTTTGTTGTTTTGAATTCGTGCATGGCATATAAGAGTGCCACAGAGTTAAAGCTATAGACGCTTTGCTGACCTTCTCTTGTCGTACCAAGATACTGAGTCACTGAAACGGGCGCTGAAGTGCTTCCATAAAGGCCAATGCGGGAGAAAAGGACACAGTAGAATCAAAAATGGTAATAACCTGGCCCTCTATGATAATAATGAAGTGAAGTAAACGGAATAGGAGGACGAAAAACCTGAAGGTCAGTTATGGCGGCGCCAGTGCACAACTGCTGCAAAGCGTCTGTAAGGTTCTGTGATTTCGGAAGGGCTTTTTTTTAACTCTGGGGTGTTTTTGGACGATTATTTTATCCCCATTTTCTGTTTGTGTTTTTAGGTTCCGATGTTCAATGACGGAGGGTGAAAAATCGGGGCTTAGCTTCAAGGCGAAGGTCAGCGCTCTAGGCATCGCTTAGTGTTGGAATTGTTGGAAGTAACGCGTTACAAGTGACGACGTTAGTGGTATGTTGTTACGGGTTAGTAATTTCATTAATGCAATTAATAAATTTCTAAATGACTAGCAGGTAAATTATTTTCTTACTAGTTTTACGATATATTATCTATTAATTTATGCATGGTGGTAAATACTCCTACAAACACGGACAAAAAAAGAAGCACACAGGACGAGGCGTAACTTGCAACGGAACTTTACTGAAGGGAACACATAAAAAGAAGAATAAAACGGCACATGCGCAAAGATGCTGGACCTTCATTAATCACGTGAAAAGCTTGTCGTCACTGTTGAGTGACCGAGAAAAAGCCCGCTCCTTTTCGGATATTGCAACAGAAGGAGCACTGATACACACATTCGTGCCATGGGCCCTTCTCATGAATGCCTCATGTATCTCGCGTTCCAATTTTGTTTTGAATTTTCCCATAATCTTGGTACTAATGAACTCGGCCTGGCACGCACGCCTGTTACAATGTACAGCCAAGTGACCAGACGGGGATAGCCTGGTGGTGGCGGAGTGTTCTCTGGTTCTACCAATAATGCACCTCTCTGTCTGGCCAACATAAACCCTACCGCAAGGTAGGGGGACGTCGTGCGTGAACCTTAAGTCACATTGACGATACTTGGTGGCATAACGCTTGCCGGACACCCCCTCCGCATTACCCGGCATACCTGCATTATTTATTCTTCGGCAAAGCTTAGAAAGCTTGTTTGGGGCAGAAAAAACTACAGGAATGCGAAACTTATTCGCCACCTTTTTGAGGTTGTGAGAAACCGTATGTACATAAGGCAGGACAACAGGTCTAACTTCAGGCCTTGCCCTCTCAGCATCCCCTCTTCCAAAAAGCCTCCTCAGCTTTTCTCCGAACCCTTCAGCAACATCACATAAGACCCGGGAACCCCACATCCTGCATTCTGTCTAGCTGCAACTGAAAACTAAAGCTCATGTTGTGAGGCAAAGATTTTTTCAAGGAGGCATGCAGATAACTAGAGGCAATTCCCCTCTTTACGAGCTTCGAATAGGCCCAGTCCTATGGCAGCAGCTTTTTCTTTGATCGGGGGTCATACGTCCAACACACATGGTCGCCATCAAAGAAAAGACCCAAGTCCAAAAATTGAAGGCGCCCGGCACTCGCTGTTTCATGCATAAAACTTAGGCTTTCCG